GCCCTGCGAGAGCATCGCCGGCTGCGGGAGCGCGGCGAGCGCGAGGCCCCTGGCAGCACGGGCTGCTCCTGTCCTGCAACCAGAAAGTGAAGGGATGGAGTGCTTAAGGCGACTAACGCTAAAAAAAAAAAAAAAAACCATAAAATCAGCAGGCAGTAGGGAGCAGGAGGTGCTACAGAACTGAACTTTGGAGGGGTTTAGAAATGCAGGTGTGTTGTTGCAGAGGAAAAGCCAGCATAAAGAGCTCGGGCTAAAGGATTGCGGGAGGGATAAATGCTGTGTCTGGATGAGCTCTACCGGGAGCTTCATAGTGCAAGGAAAACATGAAAAGTGCTTTTAGAACTACTCACAGTGGAAACTGATGTTTGACTGATTGTGGCTTTATGAGAAAAAGAAAAGAGGGTAGTGGTCAGCAAGTAGCTTTCTCTTTGCAAACATTTTATCCTTAGGTGTAAGTCTTGTTCTAACTGAAGACAATTAGAAATTCATTTTAAAAGAATTTTGAAAAGGCAGGAGCAATATGTTGAAAGGGAGTGAAATTTCTTCTTCCTGGTAGATCAGGTAAATGCAGGAGCTTATGAAAACTGGGAGTATAGTTCCAGGAAACGGAAGGAGCATTGCCTTTCCTGCCCAAGACTGCTTCAGTGCTCCTTTGGTTGTTTCTGACAGACGTGTGTCTAACATGGTTTTCTGACAGACGTGTGTCTAACATGGTTTTCTGACAGACGTGTGTCTAACATGGTTTTCTGACAGACGTGTGTCTAACATGGTTTTCAAAAATCTCTGGTATTGGAGATTCCACAACATCCTTAGGCAAAATGATTAACTTGATCTTACTGTCAGAAAACTTTTCCCGCTATCAAACCTCAATCTTTGAAGCTCCAAATCAAACCTGTTACTACTATGGCTGTTCATGTCTACCACGGTGATCAAGGTAGTCTCTTTTTCCTGGTAACTGCCCTATACCTGTATGAACTCGGTAGTCCTCTCAGGTTTCACTAGACTAAACTGTTACAAACCCTCCAGTCAACCTTTATAAGCCCTGCTTGCTAGATCTCATTGTTCTTATTGCTCTGCTCTGGACACTCTAATTTGCTGACTGTCTTGAAACGTGGTGCCCAGGACTGGACAAGGCAGTCTGGCTAAGGGTTGTCGGTGCCAGACGGAGAGAGGGATCGCTTCATAAACCTGCTGGGGAACACGCTCACACATCTCAGTGTGAAGGTGGGGTCTCTGCCTCCCACTGCAGCCACGTAACAGTATGATTATGTTTCATCCTAATTCGCTACATCACTAAGATTTCTTTCTGCATTTGTACGTTTTAGTTTCGAACTGTGCCCTCTCCTTTTTGACTTTTATCATGTATGTGTGTGGGGGAGGGGAGGCTGTTTTGTTTGTTTTTACAGACTCTTCCCACTCTCCCCCACAATTTGTCAAGATCTCTTAAAATCCCAATTCTGCTCTCCAGTAGGCTTGCTGGCCCTTCCAGTTTGATGTCTTCTGCGGTTTAAAAAAGTTCATGGGTCCGTATAACAGATGAAAGATTAAAAGCAATGGATTGGATTGGACTTTGGACAGATCCTCTTCTCCCCCTTTCAGTTGCATCCTTTCAGTTTATCAGTGAACCATCTATAACCCTTCTTCCGATAGAGCCTTCCAAATAATTGTGGGCCCACCTTCTAGTTATTTTAGTTGTAATGTTTCTTCATCTGTTTGTACCGATGTTGGTGGCGCAGTGTCAGAAGGCTTGGTAGAGCTGAGAAACATGAAGTCTGTTTTCTTGGTGTGAAAAGGAGTTAGGATGCTTTGACATGACCTTTTTCCCCTGGGGAAAGAGGAAGTGATTTGCCAAAAAGCAGCCTGCAGACTAGTGGTGGAGCTGGAAGTAAGTACCAGTTTCTTTGAGTTCCTGTCTAATACGTTTTCCTCTAAGAAGGAACATCTTTTATAAAGAGTGCAGCTTTGCAGTTGTAGTCTGAGTTGTTTTATGTTCATTTTTAATACAAGCTTGTATCTGATCTTTGATTTTTTAATACCGAAAATTTTAAACTGACATTGCAGAAACAGCCTTCTTCCATGCTCTGTTATTTTTGGACTGAATCACCTGTTCACTTTTAAAACAGAATCCAGAATAGATAATGATCTTGTTTTGCAGCTGGAATTATCTCTCTTCTGGATGAAGAAGAGCCACAGCTCAAGGTAAGCTCAGTGCTTCTGATTACATCTGGGAGCAAATAACAGCATATGTACTATGTTGAGAGCTTAAAAACAAAAATGAATGGATCTTAACAACTGTAATGGTTGGACAGCACCAGTTTGGTCCCACATCCCATCCAGCTTCAAAGGTGATAGGAAAGGTTTAAGTGACTTGCTAACAGATGGCAAACTTCCTTATTTTGAACATAGATCAAACTGGAGCTTCACATGCTAAGATCTCTACTCCCTGAAGCTCCCAGCTCTCTCATGACAGTGGGATTTTGTTACTTGCATGTGTTCCAGAGGTTGCATTTTAACTGTAAAATTCAAAGCCAAAAAAATCCTGTTTTTAGCATAACTAGATACGTAAAACAAAATAATCAAGGTTATTTTTTTCACTTAGAAACACATTAGTGGTAGCAGAAGAGAACAACTTTACAGTCCACAAAGTATATGAATCCGTAGGACCATACCAACTCCCCAGAGCGGCTGTGACTTGATGATGCTTGCTAGTTATTTGACCATAGCTAATGTACTGTGTTTTAGGAGGGGGAGATGCATCTTGTAGTATCAGGAATTCCCTAAGTCCGTTTTACTTAAAAGCAGACATAGATGAGGATAGATCTGAACGAGTCCTGCCTTTGCTCTCAACTAGTTACATGAACGATACCTGGACTAGAATCATCCACATCTGCTAAAGTGCTATGCGCAAGTTGTTCAATTATATTGGCTAGTGCAGATCACAGGCCAAAGCGTTCCTGTGTGCTATGCAAAGGTTGCCACGAAGACTCTGAAGACTCCATGTTTTAAGGAATCTCAACGATCAGGCATTTTAGCCAGTAAGTCATCAGAGAGAGACCACGGGAAGCGTTCTTTGTCTTACCTGTTAAATGAGCAGTCCTTTCCTTTTTTGCAAGGGGGTTGCAAAGAGTAGTGAAGAGAAGTGCAAAGTTCTTTTCAAGTAGAATTTGCTGTTTAAGAAGGACAGCATTTATCTTATTAGTCTTACGTGGCCTTATTTTTAATGGGAAAAGGTAATAAATGCAGCTTTTTACGTAAAATAACTTTTAATTATTTTCTGCAGGAGTTTGCTCTTCATAAGCTGAATGCTGTTGTCAATGACTTCTGGGCAGAAATCTCCGAGTCGGTGGATAAAATGTAAGAGAAGACACTTATTCCTGCAGAGCGTGCTGCTTAAAAAGAACATGAGATGTGAAATAGAAGTAGTTCTAATTGCATGATGTTGGCTAGTACAGCATCGAGCTCCATGTTTTCCAGAAAGCACTAATTTTAAGTAGATGTGGGTGTGGAACTGTGGTCCCAAAGATGCAAGTTGAATCGACCTGTCCTGTGGCTTTAAAGAGAACGGAGCACACAAAGTTAATGTTCTTCCCTTTCTCCTTTTCAGTGAAGTTCTCTATGAAGATGAGGGTTTTCGGAGCCGGCAGTTTGCTGCTTTAGTTGCTTCCAAAGTGTTTTACCACCTGGGAGCTTTTGAAGAATCCCTGAACTATGCCCTGGGAGCAGGTGACCTCTTCAATGTCAACGACAACTCAGAATATGTGGAAACGATAATTGGTAAATAACAGCTGCTGCAAAAGAAAAGCTCTCATGTTGTCAAAACTGCTGTAATGTGGAGATTCCCATTGCTTTAACTGCTTTTCTCCAAATACCTCTTCGTCTTTGTGTATTTGTGTAAACTGATGCTGCAGCCACTTTTTTTCCAGTTTAGTGTTGCTTTGTTTCCCCCTGCTTTGAGATTCTGTAATAGAACTGACTTAAGAGTGCTGACATACTTTTCCTATTCTTAGCTTTTT